CTACGCCCCTCCTCTCCCGACGATGAGCAAGTACGCCTCCACCCTAGGCAAGAAGAACGTTAATCCCATTTTCACACAACGATGCTGTACAAGTGACCCGATCACTCCCCCTCCTCCCTTTTCGGCTCTAATTGTTTGCTCTGACGAGAAGGATTAGATACGTAACGACTCGCAAGCGCTTGCGGCCGCGTTATGATTTATGATTCCATGGCAAATTAGCGTTGGAGCAGATCTGCTGGCTGGTGGAAATGGTGGGGCTCTTTTGGAGGTGATAATTTTTCCAGGTGTGGAGCTTTTGAGAAAGGAATACGGCATGTTAAGGCAGTGTCTCTACTGTTACGTGTTGTACCTACTCACAATCTGAATTTTCCCCAGTTCGTGAAATATTTTGGATGGGTTACGGACGCGTTAGTGGTAAATCGCGAGCGAATTTTCATGCTCCAGACGGGAATGACTTCTTTCGAACGCAATCTTCTGCAGGATTGAAAACGCCATCAAAACGCCCCATTCCTTCTTTCGAACACGCTCTAAAGTTTTCTCGGAAACCCGCTAGTTCAAGCGATATTTCAGATGGGTCACCCTTAGGCGACATTCTGAGCCACTCAAAAGCTCAACTCCTTCGTGCCATTGTAAGGATACTCATTTGCGAACTTCAATATGCTTTCAAGACACATATTCCCGTTAAAGTGAGGCAGAGTATAATTCGGTTATCATTAATCGATCTACTCCCGGTGTGCGCCGTGCATTACCCTTCCACGCAGAGGTGGTGGAAATGTGTAACTTCCTAAGGCTGGTGATTTTTGTGCATGTAAGCGGATGTTTGTTTCTTAGAAAGGTCGATACCCGCTTATGTAGTCATCTACATACTCACGAGTTCGTGCTAAATATTGATATTGCTAACCAACTGTTTTAATATTTTGTAGTCTTCCTTACATCCGGGTCCTCTGCAGCTTTCCGTCCGCCCCATCTAACTTAGAGATGACACTTTTGTGCTGTTTATTGCTCACCGATCCCTCTCCCCAACAGCCAAGTACGACCTGCTCATGGGTTTCGCCCAACGAGGCTGTACTCTATCCATACTTTCCTAGTCACCGACGGAGGCTCAAAATGCTGATGATCGCTGGTGGAGGCTACCGTAAAGTATGAACTAAGCCTCAGTCTGAAATATTGAAGCTTTGCTTCCCTCATATTAGTTTTTTTTCGTAATTTCAGCTGTTGGGCTTATTCGGGGGAGGGGTCGTGTTTTGCAACAGTTTCACACAATGTGATTGTATGTCCTGACTAAATAATTGCAATCGTTTACTATCAATGGGTTTCTCCAGAATGGCAAGGAGAAGGAGCACACTGGGGCAGCTCCAATTGTCCAGTCGGCCTTAGCCGTGACTATGAATGTGCCTTCGAGCTGCTTTAGCAAATCCAACACGTTTGTTTGTATGATCGAAAACTGTGTAGTAAGTGCCAATGAAGGTGTCGCCAATAATCCATGATACTGGAATCGTATCATATAGCGCTTTTTAAAAGCACAAAATAGGAAGATGCAAGTATACCGCCATGCAGATCGAGCCCATAGAAACCAGACATGCATGTACCGTCAGTGCGCTGCAAAAATGACCCGTTAGTGGGTGATCACGAACGAACAAGTTGAGCTAAAATTTTTAGCGATAATGAGCCTTTTTGTGCAGACACTCGGTTTTTGTCCGAAATCGTGAGCGTTAGCGAACGAGATGTACGTTAGGCAACGTTTAGATCAACGGTAGCGCTCCGAACGCGCGTTCGACGCGATCGATGCAGTAGTAGGCATGGGCATCGATCGTGCCGAAGCGCGCGACCGGAGCGCTGCCGTCGCGAAGTCTGAACGCTGCCTTACAGCGTGTCATCGCGAAGTCTGAACGCTGCCCCAGTGGCGGCTTCTTGACCTTGGAGATAATGTAGAAGGCGCAGAGCCGACACCATGTGGAGCGGATTGAGCCCTGGTGCGGATAATGCGTACAGACTTGTTCGCTATGGACGTTACGAGGTTCTAGGGCTAGGTTTGGCGCGGCGTCGGCCAGTTGATCACCGATTCTTGTCGCTGGCTGGCTTCCTTATTGGTAGAGGACGAGCTTGTGCCTCTCCAAACCCAACCCCTCCCTCCCCTGTAACATCACCTTCTTGCAGGGTTCTGCCACGATTTTAAAGTAGCGCTGACACCTACCGACCCTTCAGTAGATGATAGTTGTGTTATCGTTTCTAATATAAAATATGGCGCTCTGCCTGAGGCTGTTTATACTCTGCGTTCGGAGCTAGCTTCACAGGTCTTGTTCATTTTTAGACGCACTTCTACTTCTATCGTTCTTAACCAGCTATCATATCCAGTTTCTGAGAGGCTTATTTGTTTAGGGTGGAAGTCCTCAGTTGCAGTTCGCCCATGTTCGCCGATTTTGAAAGCTGGCGTTGCTCAGCTAGGGAGGGTCATTTTGTGCTTTCCCATGTGCTTTTCCTATTCAAGTAGCAGGTCTCATTGGTGAGATCTGTGAACCCTTGTGAAATCGCGAAACCGTACAATCAACCGCTTCGATTGCAAGGATCGACAGCTCTTCAGAAGGTGGCCTGTACGGGCTCCGGTGAGTCCCATTAACACCATAAGGGATAGCTAACCGAACTTCGCAAGCGCAACCATCAGTACCTGAATAACGTAATCAGATCCTCTAAGGACGAATTCAACGTCACCAAATTTGAAAGAGATCGCGGGAAGATCGGGAATAGTGCTGCAGTCAATCGCTCCATCGTCGCTGGCTCCGATCAGTTTATGAATCTGGAATTGAAGTGCACGGAAAATGAGTAGCATCAGCTTCATGTCACTGAAACTCACCGTCTGAATAGCTTGTGGTGGTCCAACGATACTGGAGGAACCAGTATCGACAGCAGCATCCACAGCTCTAGTGATTATAGAGTATCCGCCGACATTGAGTCCGTTCAGTTTTATTCGCCAGTAGTCCTCAGCAACTAGTGGCAACCATGTCATCGTACCCTTTAGAGCTATCATGAGGGTGCAGTTTGGTTTAGCAAGGGGGGGGGATGCTCTGCATTTTCACTTCACATTGTTGTGTCGAACAATCAAGTAGAGACTTGTGGAAACCTGTAAAGGCATGAAAGATACCAGTGTAATAGAAAGAAGAGAAAGTAAAGAGGAAACCTTCCATGTGAAACAGAGAACACGACGACGATAGGAAGAAGTGAAAGTGCAAAATGCACCCCCCCCCCCTCCCCCACCAAACCGAACTGAGCCGTCATTGGTTCACTTTGTAGACTTTTCAAAGATGAACCTTATAATGTGAATGATCAATTCCACACAGTGTCATTTCTCCACCGACATCATTGTTGTAGAGATCGCGATTAGCCAGAAAGCGAACAGAGTCCTTCCGGGCATAGTTCCTACAATGGCGATTATATCAGTACCATGTACCATTAACATTTAACATAGACGTGAAAATTAGCGAACTAGCACCCCTGGTAAGCGGGCGGTCGCGATGCCGGTTCGTTTTCGGTCGAATTGTGATGGTTTGCTCCCACTCTCAAAGGGCGCTGCAGCTCGCTTTGCGGTGAGGTATTTAGCTCTGGCGCTATTTCGTATGATCGTGTTCATTGCATTGCAGAAATTGACAGGTATTCCTCACAGTCCCTCCGTAGTCCCTCCAAACTTTGAGTAGTACCATTTTATAGCGTCACAAGACTTTACAATAATCTACTTAGTAGCCTGACGCGAGAGTGGGACTTCGAGTAGGCGCAAGATCCCCCCCCCCCCAAGTCGATCATTCTTTCTCCACAGGCTCCAACACGCCTTCCTGGATGACTTCGACCTTTTCTAGCGTCCACTTGCAAACGCGCTTGTCGGGAACTACTTCTTTTTCCAAAGGGTTCTAAGAAACACAACTGACCTTGTTACCAAAGATCTGGCTCATAGGTTGGGGAATACCCTTCGAGAGTGAATCCCATGCCATACCAAGAACGCCATCGTATGGAGAGTCCTGAAATCCTAGTGCGTCACTATGTCCTTCCCTGGGCAACTTTAACTTACCACGAATGTATTCCCAGGTTGATACACTGCACAAGCCAGCCCTTGTTGGTTGTTTGTACAGTACTCCTGGTATGTACCGAACTGAAATGTAAAGGTAAAAGACAGAGAACAATATAACTGAAAACTGAGTTTTTTTGTGAGTGCTTGGAGACTCACGCAAACGACATCTTTGATGACGTAGCCTTGCATCGAGCCCCTTCCATACGTAATCGAAAAGGGTCGGCTTGTCTGGGTGCAGGTCGACGAATTGAAACATGGCAGATAACCCAATGGACATAACAAGTCACGCAAACGGAAGTAAGAGGAACAAGAATTTGGAATGAAGATGGGCACTTAAAAGGTATAAACGAATAAAAACGCAAGCTTGTACGATGGCCATTTTATGGAGACTGTGAACTGCTCTCTGGAAATGTAACATTCGCTTTGCCTCACATGAGTAACTCAAAACAGGTCAATACACTAACATCAAGAATTAATCTAGTTAGAAGACATCATGGTACGCTCAACACTTGAAGTGTATGAATGCGTAACCACCCCCCAGCTGTCGATATGCTGTGAATTTCCCCTGAACTGCAAACAACAAGAGCAGAGTACCTCGAGTACGGAAGCACTAGGAAGGCTGCTTATTCCTTGGCTAAGGCGCCCGAAATTGCAACATTGCGCGCAAACATACGAATGCAACTTGCGCGCGGTGCATTTTGGGCGGTGTAGCAAGGAATAAGCCTTTCCCACGGTCCCGTACTAGGACCCCCGTGCAGTTTCGGGCGGGGAAACCACGACACATCGACAGCTGGGGGCTGTTAGTCTCATACACCCTTAATGTGTTTGAGCGTACCATGTGTCTTTAAGCGAAATAGACAGCTGGCGAAAGCACAAATTGTACCTCGCAAGCCGAACAGCGCATACTTTTAATCTCCATGATAGAGTGGGTTTCGACACCCTAAGCTAACCTTTTGGTGTTTCTGACAGGCGATGTTGGTAGAGGCACATTCGACACACGGAACCCACAGATTGGACGAGCCCGTATCGAATACCACCTTGAAGGTTTGAGGAGGAGTTCCGATCTGGATCGTGCCGTAGTACTGCATCTGCAACCCCAGAAGTGAAGTATTACTTGAAGTAGACTGCCAATTTATGGTACCTCACATCGAGATAGTTAGAGAGTTCTTCGTTGAAGGCGTGACCTGAGCGAGGTTTGTAGCCCTTGATGTACTTCTGCTTTAGATATTCAGCTAACGCCTTCGATTTATAAGAACTTCGGCCATGGATGGTTTTGTTAAGGGCGACACTAAATCAACGTATTTGTAGAAGTAAAATGCTCTCCATAGGAAGGGGGGGGGGCAAAAAAGACACTTCGGCCGAGTCACATATCAGCAAAGTTTTCGCAGCCCAGAGAAGACGTGGATACGAGTACCAGGGCGGAAGATACCCAAGATGTTCCTCGATAAGCAGGAGCTGGCCCTCGCCCATCACCTTCATGTACACCAAAACATGAGTCATCTCCAATCGCAGCCTGACAGAAGGCCTATGGAAGGGCGTTGGAAACCTGAAGAGACGTAATATCCAAGTGTGTCACGTGTCCGAAACCCTTGATTACCAGGTTCGGAAGGAGTACATGAGGGTGGTCCTACAGTGGCGAAGAGATCAACAACCTAGCCGAACTCAGGCTCCGAAGCCATGGTCGCGTGGCTAAATTCCCTCGGTGGTGTTCGTCCGGAAGGCTATGGCGGAGCATCGTGATAGTGTAATGTGGTGTTCAGTATGATGGCAGAAATGTCCGATTAGAATTTACTGAATTGTAACTTATATCGCCTTGAGTCGAGAAGAAAAGTGTTTTTTTTTCACCCCCTCCCCCTGTAGATGCAATAGCACTCACCGTAGCAGTGCTTCGATAGTCACACATGCTGATAGAAGGAGAAGGATGAGTTTAGCCATTAGAACTCACGGAGCTGAGTTACAGTTTTCCTTCGAGAATTGCTGAAGTTTGAGAAGAACGAAGCTTTCTGCGGGAACAAGGGTAGCAGAAACTGGTGCATTGGTTCCAGTCGCGGCTTATATTTGTACTTGGCAATGTAATAACCGAGGCATCGACGCTGTTTCTGTAAAATAAATGCCAATTAGCTGAAAATATTTGTCAGCAAAGGGAGGGAATAATGCCCAAAATATCATCGTTTTCCGAATGAATAAGACCCTATATCCAATATGTTCGTGCGCATCAAGCAGTAAGGCATCCAATTTTCTTGACAGCGAGTCCAACCATCCTTTACGTCTGTATGCATCATCCGTATGGAATTCAAATCAAAAAGGGGGATAGGGGTTGACGGGGAACGTCCTGCCATACGTTCTGAAAGCGAGCTTTCTTCCTCAAGGGGAAGCTATATTATCAAGCGCATCCACCATTGCTATTGTACGATCGCAAGAATGCTGAGTTATGGACAAGAGTCGAGCCCAGGCAGGCGAAGTGAGGTTCTCGCGCCGAGGTAGCTGGTCCATGTTCCCAGTGTTTGTAGGGTGTACGTCAATTAGATCCATCCCAATCGACACGAGTCAGCTGCTATTGGGGATGGCTTTCGAATTTTCGGGGTACTGGGAGTGATGAACGAGAGCTGCTTTAGCTTATCAAGGAACGTCTTGTGCCCTGGTACTCGTATCCATGTCTTCTGTCTAGGGTCCGTAAACTTTACTGATATTTGACTAGGCCGAAGTGTCTTTTTTTGCTCCTCCCTCCTCCCTGTTGAGGCACCTCCCCATCTAGTAATTTCACAAGACGTAGTCCCCCCATTGAGTTCAAAGGACATTCGGGACAGTTGTATCCAAGACTATATGCTCGCGCTTTGAAGCAGGCACGTACTACCATTGGGGAATTTTTTTTGTCAAATACGACCCTAGTTCTCAGAAAATCTTACTCTGTTACGACCCTTCCCTCCGGTGACGAAATACGACTCAACCCATCACCACCTCCCTGTTAATCCGGTACGCAACGATGTGCCCGGTCGTGATTTTCGTGCTAAAAAAGCTGCAGGAAGCATGTGTAACTTTCTTGCTGGCGATTAACCACTTTTGGGATCATCGCCTGAGGTTCCGATAAGATCTCCCCCGTTGTTGATGAAGCACGATTGTTCAGTGACTGTCTAATGAGTTAGTGCAATAGCAGGAAAAGATATGTTGTAATGTATTACTAGAGCATCAACGTCCGTTATGTAAAACCGGGGGTTCGTATTTTGGTATGAGAACTAAGCGAAAGGAAGGTGGGAGTCGTATTTCGCTATGAGAGGAACTTAGACAAAAACCGGGTTGGTGTATGCATCAAATAGTAATCAGCGTAGCTTGATGGGTCACCTTACGAAGACCTGGAAGCAACTTCCACCAAAATGGCTCACTTGTACCATTTTGCAGCTTCATAAGTGTTTGCAGGTCCTAACAAAGCGAGTCCTGCCACTCAAATGAGCTAGCAAAGCGAACTAGCGAAAGTGCAGAATGTCCCTCCTTTCCCTCCCTAAAAGCAAGCAATGCTGGATTCTTTCCCGTTTCACGCGTTCTATCCGCGACTTGCTCCTAGCTCGAGCCGTAAACCTCTCAGTAAAACGTGCGGTGCGGGGAGAGACGTGGGAAGAAAAGTATGTAGGAGGGCTCTGTGGAACGAGTGATAGAGGGTTCCATGGAGCGAGGGATTGTGCTCGAAAATTTCAGAGGAACCATCAATGACGTCTAGTCGGCCCTCACCGTTACTCCCCCTTAAGGCGAATCCGCGATCATCTGGCCATCACAATATATTGAATTAGGGATTCGGCATTAGAGACGACAAGGTTGCGTGAATTTGAATACGAAGAAAAAAAGCGAAAGGAAATTATGTCAACTGCTCGAATGAACCCCTTTCAATTCTGGTTTGTACGTGCAGCAGACAACTTATCACCCAACGCTAACCCCCATCGCACAGCTGATTCCCCGATTAAGAATCTGTCTGGACCCTACAGAGACGATTTTCAATGCTTTTTGACATGACCCTTCTTTTTCACCTTGAAGGCGGCTCTGAAGCAGAGTTGGGGGCGGGAGTCATCTTGGAAAAAAAGAAGCGTCACTGAACCTGACTTAAGGCTATAGCGCCCTCTCCCTGACAATTTTTTGCCACAAAACCGGTACAAGAATGTTCGTCACGGACCACACTACCCTCCCGATGCCATATTTTCGACTTCTATATACCTGATTTAGGACGTGCCTTGGAGGTCAAACTGTACACGTCGCTCCGGGAGTCCTGATCATTGTTCGAAGTGGGAATGTGGGGACAATGAGCCCGCAAGAAACGCTGCCAATCTTCAGCTGTCAAAAGCGCAGGGAAGGAGCTGAAGGGAAGTGATTACACGCTGGCTGAACTGTACTCCGCCCGCGCTGCAGCGCGACCCGGCCAAATCGTATTCTACTGGCTCGCTCTCAATACTTTTACTTTTCTTTTACAGCTATCTTCCTGGGAAACATGTGTGTCCGCGGCACGCGCAGCATCTTGAGAATTAGTAGCGGTGCGCGTTCATGAAGTTCAGCACCGACTGCCACCAACTCTCCAACCCGGTTCCTGTATCTTGAGCGGAAGAAGTGGCTCGCTAATTAGAACTGTGGACTCAATGACCTCGCAAACGGGAACGACCGTCCCTGAAGGCCAGTGCGTCTTACGACCGTCTTTGAGGCCCGCCCGTTGACGAGTTTGTCTCCAACAAAGTGTTACTCTTGCGTACACAGCAAAGGAGAGGGCAGCTGATTTAGAGCTGAATGTCGTTGGTTTTTTCTTCCTGATGACTTGAAAATCCCTTGTAAGAGGAGCAGCGGTCGTAATGAGTGCCAAGGGAAAGTTCTCTTTGTTGCATTATGTTGCTACGGCTACAGCAAGCGCTATTCAGTTGGCAAGTAGGGTTTTTCACTGATTTCGTAACATCAGTAAATTAGCACTTTGCTAAACAATTTGAGACTGCTCAATGCACCACCTGCTGGCACCGCAGTGGTGGTCGTTATATTGACTCGCAAGGTGATCGTCGGGATAAGTGAAATGGCCATATGAGTACAGTCTCACCCAAAGTTGGAATACGGTCCCCTGTCACAGGGTAACAACCGAATAACTAGTTCTTATATAGTTTTGCGAAAATTTTTTCCGTCGAGCCACGACTGGTACAGTCTTATTCGCTGCTAACGCTGGGGCGTTTCAGGGGAGCTGAGTTTGGCGCCAGTATAATTCCCACCACTTGTAGATGCAGGCAGGCGATCTCAACGGGTGAAAATGTGGACGGCGCCGCGCCAAACCCCTTCTCTTTCGGAATGCACCGCAGTAACAGTGAACAAGATTGTTGGACCTCTTAACTGTCGGCCTTCCTTGTCTTCAGTGATTCCCTGTAGCCACCAAGGTGTTAAATCACTTTATTGGGCTAACGTTTCGGCTAGTCGCCTTCGTCAGAGCCTGGAAGTTGAAGATCAGTGATTCAATCCTCATAAATCATTTCAAACTTAGAAATAGTCCACCGTAGAACAGCGCATCTAGGAAGGTATCGCAAATCAGAAACAAGAACTCACCTTGGAACATACGGTAGGCTTTGTTGGGACCACCGCTAAACTGACTGACTGTGTGTGGCTTCAGATGACCCAGCCCCTCGACCTGAAGCCGATGGCGATTGAAGCCCACACAGGTCAACGAACGGGGCGAGCTCGTTTGTAATGGCGATGCACTCGTCTTTCTTCTATTAGGTTGACCGGAAAGTTTCCCGCCATTGAATTTTCAAAAATATTTTAAAAACGAACTAACTTGGAAATCAGAGGTATGCACCGTCAGAGTCTACAACTTGTCGCCAACGTTCTGGCAGCTTGTCGATTCCTTCCTCCCAAAAGGACGGGGGCTGGGACTTGAAAAAACCGTCGATTGCTTCCCTGATGTCGTCTTCATTCTCGAACTGTTTCCCGTTCAGGAAGCGTTGGAGGTGGCTAAAGAGCCAGTAGTCGGAAGGTGCAAGGTCAGGGCTGTAAGGAGGCTGAGGGATGACAAGCCAGCCGAACTTCTCCAGCTCGGCTTGGGTTGCCTTCGCAGTGTGTGGTCGAGCGTTGTCGTGGTGGAAGCTGATGTCGGCTCCGCGTCCGCGTGTCCGATGAATGTGGGCTTTGAGCTTCTTCAGCTGGGTGACGTAGGTAGTGGCGTTGATGGTCTGCCCCTTCTCAAGCAGCTCCCAGTGCTCGATGCCGCGTCGTGACCACCAACACGATAGGAGCACTTTCTTGGGGTGGATGTCGGGCTTTGGGACGGGTTGTGGCTCTTCTCCCTTGTTGACCCACTGCCGTTTCCTCACAGGGTTTTGTAGAGAACCCACTTCTCATCTCCAGTGATCAGCGTATCGAGAAACTTGTACTTCTTCTGGAGAGTGAGGAGTGAAGTGCAAGTGTCGACCCTCCTCATGATGTCGTAGTCAGTGAGTTGGTGAGGAATCCAACGGCCAAGCTTTGCGACTTTACCAATCTTCTCCAGCCCAGATTCAACAGTTGATTGGGCATGGCCGAGCATCGCTGCAAGTTCCCTGGTAGTGGCGTACGGATCCTCTTCCACGGTGGATTGCAGCAACTTCAAGTCTAACTCCATCGGCCGGCCGGACCTTGGAGCATCTTGGAGAGAAAAATCTCCTTTCTTGAACTTGGCCATCCAGGTCTTGCACGTGTCGTAAGAGATAGCGTCAGCGCCATATGTATCCACTATCTTGGCTTGGGCTTCCTTTGCGTTTAAGCCAGACTGATGAAGGAAAAGAAGACAGTGCCTCAGGTGCATCCTGTCGGGTTGAAACTTGGGCGGCATTTTGGAATCCAAATGCAAGCTGGGTGAGTGTGAGGTAGTGATGTGAAAGAGTCTCTTGCGTGCTTCATGCACACCCCACGATAAGTCATAAACATACATGCAAGGCTAATATGGTGCGATC